AAAGCACAGGATATGTATCAGTGTTAAAAGATCTTGAACAGGCTGGGCGTGGTGGCTCATACCTGTAATCCCAGCACTTTGGGAGGCCAAGGTGGGCGGATCACCTGAGGTCAGCAGTTCGCGACCAGCCTGCTCAATATGGTGAAACCCCGTCTCTACCAAAAATACAAAAATTAGCTGAGCGTGGTGGCAGGCCACCTGTAATCCCAGCTACCCAGGAGGCTGAGGCAAGAGAATCGCTTGAACTGGGGAGGCAGAGGCTGCAGTGGCCCAAGAGCACGCCATTGCACTCCAGCCTGGGCGACAGAGAGAGACTCTTGTTTCAAAAAAAAAAAAAAAGATCTTGAACATCTTTGGCCCCTACATGCCAGTAGTGCCTTCCAATCATTCTGACTTTCAAACACTGCCACACCTTTCTAATCCCACCCCACCGCATCTTCCACCAGTCCTCTCCACCCGCCGCACACACAAAGGGAAGCAACACCAGCCCCAACAGATATCCCACACCATGAGTCAATGCACAGACATCTTAGAGGCAATCACTCCAGGAGAGCTGCTTTCATGCACTATGCATCCAATTTTTTTTTTCTTTCCTAATTTCAAGATGGTGTCCCTAGCTCTAATGGTATAAAAGGACCAGGCAAACACCCATGCTCTTAATCTGTTGAGCAGGAGTTCCTTAATACAAGATGTGGGAATTACATGTTGGAAAAGAGAAAATGTTGTTTGCCACTATCCAGTATGGAAAAGACTAGTTACTAAAATTTGGCCATACAATAAGTAATATTTAGTACGAGTTTAACATAAGGTCCATGTCTTCCGTGTCAAAAACGGGATCTTTGTACTTTCTAAGTAAAAAGAAGGTGCTGTAGAATTCCAAAACTAGAGGACAGATACCTCCAGAGAATCCTTTTTTTTTTTTTTTTTTTTTGAGACAGAGTCTCGCTCTGTCACCCAGGCTGGAGTGCAGTGGCGGGATCTCAGCTCACTGCAAGCTCCGCCTCCCGGGTTCACGCCATTCTCCGGCCTCAGCCTCCCAAGTAGCTGGGACTACAGGCGCCCGCCACCTCGTCCGGCTAGTTTTTTTGTATTTAATAGAGACGGGGTTTCACCGTGTTTGCCAGGATGGTCTCGATCTCCTGACCTCGTGATCCACCCGCCTCGGCCTCCCAAAGTGCTGGGATTACAGGCTTGAGCCACCGCGCCCGGCCTGAGAATCCTTAACAAAGGGGAGGAGACCAAAGACTTGGTAATGATCTAAGAATTCCTACAGGTTTTTATCAGCTTTGTCTAAATAATCAGCATAATCACTTCGGTTCTGTGCAAGTGTACCTCAACTTTGGAGTCTTCTATGAGGGGCCTGAGACTGATCACAAACAGAAGGAAAGAAAACAACTGAACGATACTCTGGATGCAATAGAGGTAAGGAAGTGTTTTGTGGAAGAGAAACATCTGTGGAAACTGATTTTAACTTCAGAGGGAAGATGACTTCATTTAGGTAGAAACCAAACAGGCAAGGGGATGTGAATCTCTTAATAAACTATGACTTGACTGGGCGTGATGGCTCACGCCTATAATCCCAGCACTTTGGGAGGCCGAGGCGGGTGGATCACTTGAGGTCAGGAGTTTGAAACCAGCCTGGCCAACATGGTGAAACCCCGTCTCTACTAAAAATACAAAAATTAGCTGGGCATGGTGGTGGGCACCCGTAATCCCAGCTACTCGGAAGGTTGAGGCTGGAGAATCGCTTAAACCCCGGAAGGCAGAGGTTGCAGTGAGCCGGGATCGCGCCACTGCACTCCAGCCTCGGATAGAGCGAGTCTGTCTCAAAGTAAAATAAAATACATTATGACTTGAAGCTCTTGAAATTCCACCTTCATTTTATACCAAGGGTTGGCAAACTATGTATGGCTCACAGGCCAAATCTGGCCCATTGCCTGTTTTTCTTTGAATTGAGATATAATTTATACACCATCTTAAAGTGTATGTCCATGGTTTTTTAGTATATTCCCAAGGCTGTGCAACTATCAGCATCTAATCCGGAAGTTTATCACCCACCCACCCCCAAAAACGCCACTACCCATTAGTCATTCTCTGTTCTATTACCCCAGGCCTGCCTATCACTGTTCTACTGTCTCTATAGATTTACCTACTCTGTACTTAATTTCTGAGACAGGGTCTTACTCTTGTTGTCCAGGCTGCAGTGTGCAGTGGCTTGATCACAGCTCACTGCAGCCTCAATCTCCTGCGCTCAAGCAATCCTCCCACCTTAGCTTGCCAAAGTGCTGAGATTACTCAGCATTTTGAGCTACTGTGTCGAGATTAATCAACAATTTGAGCCACTGCGGCTGGCCTCTATACGCTTTATTTAAATGGAATCACACAGTACATGGGGTTTTGTGACTGGCTTATTTTTATTGTCATTTTTTGAGACGGAGTTTCACTCTTGTCTAGGCTGGAGTGCAATAGCGCAATCTCAGCTTGCTGCAACCTCTGCCTCCAGGGTTCAAGTGATTCTCCTGCCTCAACCTCCTGAGTAGGTGACATTACAGCCGCGTGCCACCACGCCCAGCTAATTTTTGTATTTTTAGTAGAGACGGGGTTTCACCATGTTGGTCAGGCTGCTCTTGAACTCTTGACCTTGTGATCCGCCCAGCTCAGCCTCCCAAAGTGCTGGGAATACAGGCGTGAGCCACTGCGCCCTGCCTGAATTGTCTTTTTATTGTTGAATTTTATTTATATATTCTGGATACAAATCCCTTCTAAGATACGTGAGTTGCAGATATTTTCTCCCATTCTGGCAATGTCTTTTCACTTTCTTTTTTCTTTTTTGAGACGGAGTCTCGCTCTGTCGCCCAGGCTGGAGTGCAATGGCGTGATCTTGGCTCACTGCAACCTCCACCTCCCAGGTTCAAGTGATTCTCCTGCCTCGACCTCCTGAGTAGCTGGGACTACAGGTATGTGCCACAATGCCCAGCTAATTTTTGTATTTTTATTTATTTATGTATTTATTTATTGAGACACAGTCTTGCTTTGTCACCCAGGCTGGAGTGCAGTGGCACAATTTTGGCTCACTGCAAACTCCATCTCCCGGGTTCAAGTGATTCTCATGCCTCAGTCTCCCAAGTAGTTGGGATTACAGGCGGGTGCCACCACACCTGGCTAATTTTTGAATTTTTAGTGGAGATGGGGGTCTCACCATGTTGGCCAGGCTGGTCTTGAACTCCTGACTTCAGGTGATTGCCCAACTTGGCCTCCCAAAGTGCTAAGATTACAGGAATGAGCCACTGCGCCCAGCTATTCTTCACTTTCTTTTCTTTTTTTTCTTTTTTATTTTTTTGAGACAGAGTCTCGCTCTGCCGCCCAGGCTGGAGTACAGTGGCACAATCTCGGCTCACTGCAACCTCTGCCTCCCGAGCTCAAACAATTCTCCTGCCTCAGCCTCCGGAGTAGCTGGAATTACAGGCATGTGCCACCACACCCGGCTAATTTTTGTATTTTTAGTAGAGACGGGGTTTCACCATGTTGGCCAGGCTGATCTCAAACGCCTGACCTCAGGTAACCCGCCCACCTCGGCCTCCCAAAGTGTTGGGATTACAGGCGTGAGCCACTGCGCATGGCCCACTTTTCACTTTCTTAGTCTCTCCTAAATGCACAAAAACTCACTGCCTGTTTTTGTAAATGGAAGTTTTCTTGAAACACAGCCATGCTCATTTGACAATTACATATTGTCTGTGGCTGCTTTTGTACTACAGTGGCAGAGTTCAGCAGTCACAAGGGCCTGCAAAGCCAAAAATATTTACCATCTGGCCTTAAAGTCCACAGGCTCTTGTCTTCTACCATATACAGAGAATATAAAACATCACCTGGAATGGTAACAACATGCTGAGTACATCTAGATCTAGAGGTCCTCTGGAAGAGCTCTCTAGTTTGAGAACTGAAGTTTTCCATTATTTAAAAATAAAACAAAAGAAAAGGCCGGGGCAGTGGCTCATGTCTGTAACCCCAGCACTTTGGGAGGCCAGTGTGGGTGGATCTCTTGAGCCCAGGAGTTCGAGATGAGCCTGGGCAACATGGCAAAACCCTGTCTCTACAAAACAAAACAAAAAAATACAAAAATTAGTCAGATGTGGTGGCACGTGCCTGTAGTCCCAGCTACTAGGGAGGCCGAGGTGGGAAGATCGCTTCAGCGCAGAAGGTTGAGGCTGCAGTGAGCTGTGACTGCGCCACTGTACTCCCGCCTGGGCAAACAAGTGAGACCCTGTCTCGAGAAACAAAAACAAAAATTGCAAACTCAAGTCCAGATCATATTTCATACATAGCACACACAACATTTATCAACAACTATAATAGTATTGTACATCTTAAAATTGTATGGGTAAATTATTTGACTTCCAGGTAGGTTAGTGCTGGTGAGCACCCAGGTGAGGCTAGATGGGGGTTTGGAAGAATCCCTTTTAAAATCTTCTCTCATAGGACAGCACACAAAAGGTGCAGAACAATATCTTTCACATGTGGCGATACTACAACTTTGCCCGGATGAGGAAAATGGCTGACTTTTTCCTTACCCATTCAAACTATAACTACGTGAACTGGTGGTCGACAGCCCAGAGCCTCGTTATTATTCTTTCTGGAATCCTGCAACTGTATTTCTTGAAGCGTCTCTTCAATGTTCCAACAACTACAGACACAAAGAAGCCAAGATGCTAAGCTAAGGTGACTATAGCACCCTGGCTCTTTTCTTCTGGGGCTTAGTTGAAATTAGCTTTGTAATGTTATGGGACAAAAATCAATCTATCTCATTAATGTTTTAGTCTGCTGTACACATCTAAAAAAGCAAAATGGCAATAAAATAATAATGAAAAAGTTCTGAAGAAGTATTAAATGTATGCATCAAAATACTGTTCATCATACAGCAGTCCCTTAGCCTTCACTGAGTCTACTTAGAGGGTAACAGAAAATCTTAGAAGGAAGACGAGTTGAAAAAGGCCACAATCAAGTTTGCTTACATATAAAAGCAGGAGTCGGTAATGTTTTATTCTTAAAGACTTCACCTTTGGAACTTAAAATAAGCAGTATATTCATTAAAGAAATAGTTTGGTTTTGCAATACAGGAAGTCTTTACATTTTTTGTCTATAAAATGTTACTAAAGAAATATTCTAACGATCTTAAAATAACTTTGGGAGGCACGGGAAGGACAAAGGGACTAATTTTTATGTCGCGGTCTTTGATCAGTGCTTTTAGTTCAATCCAGTCAAGTAAGTAAAGGTTCATAGAAAAAATTATGTTTTATAAAATCATAGTGATGAAAAAAAATTCCAGCTTAGGATCATCCCATCCAAGAAAAATACTGAGAAAACAGCTTGTAAAAAAGAAGGTAATATAATCAAATTATACTCATAAAACTCTACACTTAATAACAGGAATACATAATATATATAAAAATAATTCTTACCATTTATTCCACACCTATCATTTCCCAGGCACTGTACACCGTACTAGATGCTTTACAATCAGACGGAGTCTCACTCTGTCACCCAGGCTGGAATCCCATGGCACCATCTCGGCTCACTGCAACCTCTGCTTCCCTGGTTTAAGCCATTCTCCTGCCTCAGCCTCCCAAGTAGCTAGGACCACAGCCATGTGCCACCACACCTGGCTAATTTTTTTATATTTAGTAGAGATGGGGTTTCACCATGTTGGCCAGGCTGGTCTCAAACTCCTGACCTCAAGTGATCCACCCACCTTGGCCTCCCAAAGTGCTGGGATTACAGGCGTGAGCCACTGTGCCCAGCCTACAATCATGATTTCTAATTCCAAAAATCAGAATTTCTAATTCTCAGGTAGATGGCCAAAGCTATTTTTTAAGTTTTGTATCTTTTTAAACAGAAGAAAACGAACCTTATTAAAGCTGAATGACTCATTCAAGGCCATACAGTTGGTAGGTGGCAGTAGTGGGGTTTGAATACATTTTTCTTCCATACCACACACCAATTACCGTATAGAAAAATAGCTGAATTGCTCTTATTATTTTAGACAAATTTCATTTTTAAAACCCCACATGTGGTTTATTATTCTGTTATGGAAATATCTATCTTGCAAATTAATAAAAAAGACAATCCCTGTGTTCTTATCATGAGTTTAGAAAACAAAGTGTTATCACAGATAACAATAAGCTATTCTTGTTCCTAGTTCCAATGATTTTGAACCTATTTCTCAGAACAAGAAGCCCTCTGATTCAAATATGAAACAGAGTATTCTATTTCATCACAAACACAAAGATCTGAAACCCCATTTTTGAGCTCTCTCTGTATATAATAAGAATCCAGCCTGCATTTGTCAATGACAGAGAGTACAGTAAATAAGAAGTCCCTGAAGAGGTCAGAGTGTTGACAAAATTCAACATGATGATGGAGTCCACACAAACACAGGAAACAAAGCTCGGCCCTTCCATACAGCCGCCTGTCCTTGCAATGACTTCGTTTTAAGTCAACGTCTCTTCATGCCGCACATATTCCCCAACGTCTGCCTGATGAAATACCACAATCGCCATGGGGTCTACTTTTCTGCAGTCTTGTGTAGATTTTGCTGCCACCCCAAAACCCTGGGATTCAAAAGAAGAGACATTAACTCACTGAAGTCATTCAATATACCCATATTGAGGGCTGGAAATAACAAAGACGGAAAAAATACAGTTCTGGTCTTTCTGGGATTCAAAAGGTGCTGCGAATTTATTCTCTCAATCACCCAGATTGAAAACATATCCTTCTTGAATAAAAGAGTACTTGAGTTCTGTAATAGCTGCCATCTCTACTCACCAAAGGGATGTCTGCCATGGAGTACACCACCACGCCCTGGTACTGAGAAGTATTTTCAGTGATTCGACCCAGACCAGATTTCAACACATGGTTCCCATACAGGAACGACTGCTCTGCACCAGGCTTTATCCACACTTTATACTGTAAGAGAATTAAAATCCAAGAGACACAAAAACATTACTATTTCTATCCATGCAGACAAACTAGCTGCTGGATCTGTGAATAATTTTCTGAAATAATTTTAGGGGAAACAGAAAGAGACTCATGTTTTCCTCAAACTGTCCATCTCCTGAACAGAAATGCAGGAAGTTACCCAGCGCAGTGGCTCGCGTTTGTAATCCCAGCACTTTGGGAAGCCGAGGCAGGTGGATCACTTGAGGCCAGGAGTTCGAGACCGGCCTGGCCAACACGGCGAAACACTGTGTCTACTAAAAACACACAAAAAAATCAGCCAGGTGTGGTGGCACACACCTGTAACCCCAGCTACTCAGAAGGCTGAGGCACAAGAATCGCTGGAACCTGGAAGGCGGAGGCTGCAGTGAGATCGCACCACTGCACTCTAGCCTGGGCGACAGAGTGAAACTGTCAGGAAGAAAAAGAGAGAGAGAAATGAAAAGAAAAAAAAAGAGCAAGAAAAAAAAGGAATTTAAAAAAAGAAATGCAAAAAGTTATTTTCTCAACTCTACAGGGATCATCTTCCACGGCCAGGTTAACAGCTCTTTTTCTGGACCCCGGTGTCTTCACTGCTGCCACTAACTTGCTTTCTGATCTCTAGCTGGGTCTGCCTAGGCTTTTCTACTTTGCTGGAGAAAACTAACACTACACAGCCCCACAGCACTCCTATCCCATAGCCCTGACCATGCCCAAGGTGCAAGACCTCTGCACATCTCCATGTGCTGACACTCCTCCAAGCACACTATCAGGAACTCTGTGGGAGAAAAGCTGCCGGACCATCTGCCTAATCCTTGACTTCATCGCCCGTGGCAGAATTGGAAACCACCCCACAAACCTTGGCATAAGGTGCAAGGTAATCCAGGGCTGTGACGTGCAACCGAAACTTGTGGGTTTTAGTGAATTTTCCAAAGCAGGTCCCCAGCGACACCAGCTTGTCCCCGGAGATATTAGCGGCCAGCTTCATAATCTTCTCACTAAAAGGGTAAAGGGGGAGCACCGCTGCGGATGAAGGAGGCTGGTGGGACCCAGGTCTCCCCTCCCCTGGGTCCATGCTGCCTGCCCGGCCCCGCCTCACCTCACATAGTACACCCGGTCGTTGTGCAGACGGAAACAGTAGGTGCCATCGGGCCGGTCCACCAGCAGCTGAAGATTCTCCCCGATACTGAGGGCAAAAAGAGGACTGGAGACCGCGCCCGAACGGACCGGTCTAGGCACCGCGCCCCCACTCCACCCCTAGCCACCACACCCACACACTCCCGCCTCCGCCCCGCGCGCTCCTACTATTTCGCGATCTTCTCAAACATGACACGGGTCTCTTCTTCAGTCAAAGGCCGCATTTTCTCCGTGGGTTGGAACACCGGATCCTCGTGCCTCCGTAAGCGGAAACGGAAGTCGGCCGCTTGCTGCTCCCCGGCAACCCCAAAGCCTTCCTCTCTAGCCCCGTACCAATAGTTCCTCTCGCTAGCGCCCAATAGTCTGGACGACCGCCGGGGAAAGCAAGCCGACTGGATGAGAAAAGATAGAGACCGGAAATGGTCCTGTTTCTTCCTGTCCTAAATTCGGAGTCAGCGCCCCCGGTGGTCCGGAGGGGAAGTGACGTTGTTGCGGGGAAGATGGCTACCGCAGCGACTGCCCCATCGTCAGCCACGGCCTCGGCCACGGCCAGGGCCACGGCAGCGGCTCTCGGCGAGGTGGAGGATGAAGGGCTCCTGGCGTCGCTGTTCCGGGACCGCTTCCCCGAGGCCCAGTGGCGCGAGCGGCCCGATGTGGGCCGCTACCTCCGGGAGTTGAGCGGCTCGGGGCTGGAGCGGCTGCGGCGCGAGCCCGAGCGCCTGGCGGAGGAGCGGGCGCAGCTCCTGCAGCAGACACGCGACTTGGCCTTCGCCAACTACAAGACCTTCATCCGCGGCGCCGAGTGCACCGAGCGCATCCACCGCCTCTTTGGCGACGTGGAGGCATCGCTCGGCCGCCTGCTCGACCGCTTGCCCAGCTTCCAGCAGAGCTGCAGGTGCGACGCGCCTGGCGCTAAAGGGGTTTTTAAGTGTAAAAGCTGACGTTTACGATGGTAGAAATAACTAACACTTATAAAGCGTTTACCACGTTCCAGGCTCTCTGCTGAGCGCCTTATTAATCCATTTAAACCTCACAACAGCCTTCGAGGTAGGTACTGTTATCCCCCCCCCTTTTTTTTTCTTTTTTGAGACGGAGTCTCGCCCTGTCGCCAGGTTGGAGTGCAGTGGCGAGATCTCGGCTCTCTGCAACCTACTTCCGCCTCCCGGGTTCAAGCGATTCTCCTGCCTCAGCCTCCTGAGTAGCAGGGACCACAGGGGTGCGCCACCACGCCCAGCTAATTTTTTTTTGTATTTTTAGTAGAGACGGGGTTTCAGCATGTTGGCCAGGATGGTCTCCATCTTTTGACCTCGTGATCTGCCCGCCTCGGCCTCCCAAAGCGCTGGGATTACAGGCGTGAGCCGCCGCACCCAGCCCTGTTATTTCCATTTTACATATGAGCAAGTCAAGACAGAGATTAGTGATGTCTAAGGACACAGCTAGGAGGTTGCGAATTCAGAACTGATGACCCAGGAGCATATCCCTCCCTCGAAGGGCTGTTGTGGGCACTAAAGAAAAAGGATTCATGCAAAGCTCTTATTATCGGGTCTGACATAGTTAACATTATAGGTGTGAGCTGAATATATGTGTACATTTGTATACTTATTTTATACGAAAGCTTGGACCAGAGGTCATCTGCTTCAAAACTTCCATTGACGGGAAGCCGACAAGGAAATCCTCCCATTTGAGGGCATCAGATATCAAAACGCCTCTCCTTTTGGACGTCTGGATGCGGTGGCTCAGCCTGTACTCCCAGCACTTTGGGAGCCTGAGACTTGAGCCCAGGAGTTCAAGAGCAGCCTGACCAACATAGCAAAACCCTGTCTCTACAAAATAAAAAATTAGCTGGGCGTGGTGGCGTGCGCCTGTAGTCCCAGCTATACAGGAGGTTGAGGTGGGAGGGTCAGTTGGGCCCGATTGTGCCACCGCACTCCAGTTTGGGAGGTCGAGGCTGCAGTGGGCTGTGATTGTGCCACTGCATTCCAGACTGGGTGACAGAGTGAAACTCTGTCTTAAAAAAAAAAAAAAGCCCGGGTGCGTTGGCTCATGCCTGTAATCCCAGCACTTTGAGAGGCCAAGGCAGGCGGATCACGAGGTCAAGAGATCGAGGCCATCCTGGCCAACATGCTGAAACCCCATCTCTACTAAAAATACAACAATTAGCTGGGTGTGGTGGCGAGCACTTGTAATCCCAGCTACTTGGGAGGCTGAGGCAGGAGAATTACTTGAACCTGGGAGGCGGAGGTTGCAGTGAGCCAAGATGGTGCATGCCAGAGCACTGCAGCCTGGTGACAGAGCAAGACTCCGTCTCAAAAAAAAAAAAAAAAGTCCTTTGTGAGTCATATTCTGTCTCCATAGATCCTCAGTCCATTATCCTTAGTTCTGCCTTCCAGCCTTTCATGATTACAGTTTAATTTTTCTTTTGAGCCTTTGGATATCTGACAGCAGCTTTTGTACCCTTCCATGCTCCAGAGTAGACAAGGGACTTGATAAAGCAGGTCTCTGCAAATATAAAGTGTTGAAAGTAGACTGTGGCAGGAGCTATGGTTGAACATTAGCACAGGAGAAGATGAAGACCTGAGGGAATATGGGGAAAGGTTGTGGATTCTAGGCTAGTTAGTGCTTCATTATGAAAATAATGATAGCTATTGTTAAATATTTAACTCTGTGTCTTTTACTATTTTTACTTTGATGCATTTGCTCTGTTTCAAGTTCTGTGTTAAATGCTTCCCACGCATCATCTCATTTCTTACATCCTTGTGAGGAGGGTCCTATGTACTTTTTTTTTTTTTTCCCGAGATGGAGTCTTGCTCTGTTGGCCAGGCTGGAGTACAGTGGCGCCATCTCTGTTCACTGCAACCTCCACCTCCTGGGTTCAAGTGATTCTCCTACTCAGCTTCCCAAGTAGCTGGGACTACAGGCACGCGCCACCACGCCTGGCTAATTTTTTGTATTTTTAGTAGAGATGGGGTTTCACTTGAACCCCTGGCCTCAAGTGATCCACCTGTCTTGGCCTCCCAAAGTGCTGGGATTACAGGCATGAGCCACCGCGCCCGGCCCTATAGACTGTTTTACCAATGAGGAAATAGGTTCAGAGAGGCCAAGTACCTTGCCACAGCCAGCCAGTGGCATATCTGGATTTCTGTCTGTTAGATTTATTAATTGTATGTTTTTGGACAAGTTGCTTAACCTCTCTGGAATTAAAAATTTCCTCAATTGTAATAATGCTTACCTTATAGGTGGGGTGTGAGGAATAAATCAGATAGATCATCCAGCCCAATGTTCATAGCAGGTGCTTGGTAACTGTAGCTAAGGTTTGGGTACAGAGCAGTGAAGGACCAACATTCTCCTGATTATTACTAGGAACTTTGTGAAGGAAGCCGAGGAGATCAGCTCCAACCGTCGGATGAATAGTCTGACCCTAAACCGGCACACAGAAATTTTGGAAATACTGGAGATTCCTCAGCTCATGGACACCTGTGTCCGGAACAGTTATTATGAAGAGGCCCTGGAGCTTGCAGCCTATGTACGCCGACTGGAGAGGAAATACTCTTCCATCCCTGTCATCCAGGTAGCCAACTTACCCAGAGAGGACTCAAAGTAATGTTCTTGTAATCATTTATTCTGTGGTCAGGACTGAAGCTTTAGGTAGAAACCCTTGCATGTTTCATATCAGTTTCTGAAAACATTCATTTATTCAAAATACATATTAATCACGTGCCAAGCACTGCTCTATATGCTGGGGATACATTGTGAATAAAGTGGTCCTGGCTCTCATGCAGCTTACGTGCTAATGGGAAGTCTGATAATTGACAAAGAAATAAATGATATCATTTCAGATAGTGGTGTCTGATTAAAAAAACAAAATGGGGAACGGGGTAGAGGGAGTCCAGGGTAGGTTTCTTTAGGTAGGGTGATCAAGACAGACTCTTCTGGGGAGGTAACACTTAAGCTGAGACCTAAGTGAGAAGAAGGAGCCAGCCCACAAAGATCTGAGGAGAGAGCAAACCAGAAAGTGCGAAGAACAAGTGGAGAGGGCTGAAGTGGGCAGAAATTGAGGTATTTAAGGGATACAGAGGCAGCCAGAGTTAGCGGATTGTAGCAGTGGGAGAGCATAAGGAAGCAGGTGAAGATGGAGAACCAGGTAAGGCCACCAGTATAAGTCCCAATGAGTGGTTGGAATTTTCTCGATTGCAGTGGGAAGTCACTGGAGGGTTTTAAGCTTTTTTTTTTTTTTTTTTGAGACAGAGTTGCTCTGTCACCCAGGCTGGAGTGCAGTGGCGTGACCTCGGCTCGCTGCAACCAACATTTATCCCCCAGGTTCAGGTGATTCTCCTGCCTCTGCCTCCCGAGTAACTGGGATTACAGGCCTGCGCCACCACACCCACCTACTTTTTGTATTTTTATTTTATTTTATTTTATTTTTTTTGAGACGCAGTCTCACTGTGTCGCCCAGGCTGGAGTGCAGTGGCCGGATCTCGGCTCACTGCAAGCTCCCCCTCCCCAGTTTACGCCATTCTCCTGCCTCAGCCTCCTGAGTAGCTGGGACTGCAGGCGCCCGCCACCTCGCCCAGCTAGTTTTTTTGTATTTTTTTAGTAGAGATGGGGTTTCACCATGTTAGCCAGGATGGTCTCAGTCTCCTGACCTCGTGATCCGCCCGCCTCGGCCTCCCAAAGTGCTGGGATTACAGGCTTGAGCCACCGCGCCTGGCCTTACTTTTTGTATTTTTAGTAGAGACGGGGTTTCACCATGTTGGCCAGACTGGTCTCAAACTCCTGACCTCAAGTGATCCGCCTGCCCACGGTGCTGGAATTACAGGTGTGAGCCACTGCACCTGGCCAGGTTTTAAGCTTTTTAAGCAAGAGAGTTAACCTGATCTTTGTTGGTGAACCTGCAGGCATCAGCTTTAGGAAATTAGTTCATATTTCAGGAAAGCCATGGGAATGTTGGTCTGCAGTCTTCAGGGTTAGGGGAGTGGGTTCTAGAGAGCATCCTTCCCAGCACAGTGTGACTCTATGTATTGTCAGGGCATCGTGAACGAAGTGCGCCAGTCCATGCAGCTGATGCTGAGCCAGCTGATCCAGCAACTGAGGACCAACATCCAGCTCCCCGCCTGCCTCCGTGTCATTGGCTACCTGCGGCGCATGGATGTCTTCACTGAGGCTGAGTTGAGGGTGAAGTTTCTTCAGGCCCGAGATGCTTGGCTCCGGTCCATCCTGACTGCCATTCCTAATGATGATCCCTATTTCCATATCACAAAAACCATCGAGGCCTGCCGTGTCCATCTCTTTGATATCATCACCCAGTACCGTGCCATCTTCTCAGATGAGGACCCACTGCTGCCCCCTGCCGTGGGTGAGCACACCGTGAATGAGAGTGCCATCTTCCATGGCTGGGTGCTACAGAAAGTCTCACAGTTCCTGCAGGTGCTGGAGACCGACCTTTACCGGGGCATAGGCGGCCGCCTGGACTCTCTGCTGGGCCAGTGCATGTACTTTGGGCTGTCCTTCAGCCGGGTGGGAGCTGATTTCCGCGGTCAGTTGGCTCCTGTTTTCCAGCGGGTGGCCATCAGCACTTTCCAGAAAGCAGTTCAGGAAACAGTGGAGAAATTCCAGGAAGAAATGAACTCCTACACACTCATCTCAGCTCCAGCCATCCTGGGCACCAGTAACATGCCTGCTGTTGTGCCAGCCACCCAGCCAGGGACGCTGCAGCCACCCATGGTGCTCCTAGATTTCCCACCCCTCGCCTGCTTCCTCAACAATATTCTGGTCGCCTTCAATGATCTGCGCCTCTGCTGCCCTGTGGCCCTGGCACAGGATGTGACTGGGGCCTTGGAAGATGCCCTTGCCAAGGTGAGCACATTCTGTTGGTTTTCGGCTACTCTGGGCCTTCTCTGGTAATGGGTGGCCAGATTTTTGTAATAAACCCGTCTATTTGACAGTGGTGTCTGCTGACATGGAGAGGTTTAGTGTGGTGTTGGAGGTTCTCCTGGTTGAAAAGCTCTGGCCAGTTGCCCTTCATGGGACCTAGGACAGTCCATGAAGTGACTTGCCTATAGTAACAATTCAGTAATGCACGTATTAGCTTTCTAGTGCTGTGTAACAAATTCCTAGAAACTTAGCTTCCAGCAACACATTTATTACTTCCCAGTTTTGGTGGGTCAGGAGTCCAGTCTCAGCACAACTGGGTCCTCTCTGCTCAGGGTCTTACAGGGTTGCCATCAAGGTGTTGGCTGGCCTATGGTCTCATCTGGAGGTTGGGGCTCCATTTCAGACTCATTCAAGTTGGCAGGGGTCAGTTCCTTGCAATTGCAGAACTGAAGCTTTAGCTCCTAGAGGCTGTCTACTCCTTAGGCAACTGACAACATGGCTGTTTGCTTCCTCAAAGCCAGCAGGAGAGCTTCTCTTTTGCTTGAGTCTCTTCTTTTAGGTACCTCCTTTCAAAAGATTCATTTGATTAAGTCAGACGATTAGGGACTTTAGTTACATCTGCAAAACCCTTCACCTTTAGCATATTTTTTTTTTATGTGTTTTATTTTATGGAGAGAGAGTGTCTCCTTATGTTGCCTAGGCTGGTCTCAAACTCCTGGACTCAAGTGATCCTCCTGCTTCAGCCCCTCAAAGTGTGAGATTACAGGTGTGAGTCACTTGAACGCAGGAAGTGCAGCACCAGAGTCTGTGTTCTTACCCTGTCGCTATGCCACATGTCTGTAGTGTCAGCTAGGCTGCTCTGTTGGTTTTGAAACCTCTCTTTCCTAGCTGTTTTCTTCTAGTTTTCCAGTGGTTCTAGCTTTCTGGAACCTCAGGGGCCTTAGTGGAAACCTCATATAGTTTTGCTTCATTTTCCTGGATCCAGCACAGTTCTGGTTGGTCCTCTATGGAAGTTAAGAACCATGTATTGGGCCAAGCGCAGTGGCTCACACCTGAAATGCCAACACTTTGGGAGGCTGAAACAGGAGGATCTCTTGAAGCCAGGAGCTCTAGACCAGCCTGGGCAACAAAACAAGACCCTGTCTCTACAAAAAATTTTAAAACTTAGCCAGGCGTGATGGTGCATGCCTGTAGCCCCAGCTACTTGGGAGGCTACGGTGGGAGTATTCCTTGAGCCCAGGAGTTTGAAGCTACAGTGAGCTATGATGGTGCCACTGCACTCCAGCATAGGTGACAGAGCAAAATTGTGTCTCTGGAGAAAAAAAAAAAAAAAAAAAAAACCATGTATTCTCTATAGTTTTATGACACTCCTCCACTAGAACTGGAAACTACACCCATAATGTAACAAGTTGGGTCTGAACTTCACATTAATAAAGTGACACAATTGTGGAGAATGACCATAATTTTGAGTTTAAATGAGACAGTAAAATAATGTACTGTTAAATTAGTTTGTTCAAGAAAACTTGAGGGGGGGTATACCTTTTTTTTGCCTAGTTTCACGCACTGCTGTCTCAGTGGTGATAGGCTGTCCCAGTGATTGATGGTGCCCTTGTCTCTTAGGTAACTAAAATAATCCTGGCCTTCCATCGCGCTGAAGAGACTGCCTTCAGCAGAGGGGAGCAAGAGCTCTTCGTCCAGTTCTGCACTGTCTTTCTGGAAGACCTTGTTCCGTATTTAAATCGCTGTCTCCAAGTCCTTTTTCCACCAGCTCAGATAGCACAGACTTTAGGTAAGAAAGAAAATTTTGTAAACTGCCTTACTGATGTGTAATTCACATACTAAATAATTCACCCATTTGTGTAAGTCAGTGTTTAGTAAATATGAATCCAATTTTAGAATATTTCCATCACTCCAAAAAGATCCTTCATGCACATTTGTAGTCATTCCTCGACAGCATCCTTAGCCCCTGGCAACCTACTTTCTGTTGCCATAGATTTGCTTTTTGTAGACATTTCATAAAAATGGAATCATACATTATATGGCTGTATCTGGCTAAGTGGAAGAAGCCAGTCACAAAAGAACCACATACGTATGATTCCATTTATGTGAAATGTCTAGAGAAAGGGTTTTTAAAGTCTTTTTTTTTTTTTTTTTTTTGAGGTGGAGTCTCGCTCTGTTGCCAGGCTGGAGTGCAGTGGCACAGTCTTGGCTCATTGCAACTTCCACCTCCCGGGTTCAAGCAATTCTCCTGCCTCAGCCTCCCGAGTAGCTGAGACTACAGGCTCGCACCACCACGCCCAGCTAATTTTTGTATTTTAGTAGAGACGAGGTTTCACCACGTTGGCCAGGATGGTCTCCATATCTTGACTTGTGATCTGCCTGCCTCTGCCTCCCTAAGTGCTGGGATTACAGGTGTGAGCCATCGCGCCCATCCTAAAGTCTTTTTTCCAATTCACTTTCACGTCCTTGTCCCCTTGTGATGGGAGAAGGGCTTGGTTGAGGCGCAGCTTCCCAAAGGGCAATGGGTCAGTGCATCACACCTGCAAAGCCTGGCTGCCCTCCGCTTTTCCCCTGGGGCTCCCTGAGGTCTGGATTCCTGCTGCAGGCGCCCAACAGTGCTGCTCCATTACCTTCTGCTTCACAGTATAGCTTCCTGTTCCCTGTGACAAAGGTGGTTTTTGCTGTATTGAAATACAGTAATTGATGACTGGGCGCAGTGGTTCATGCCTGTAATCCCAGCACTTTGGGAGGCCGAGGCGGATGGATCACTTGAGGTCGGGAGTTTGAGACCAGCCTGGCCAACATAGTAAAACCCCGTCTCTACTAAAAATACAAAAATTAGCCTGGCTTAGTGGCGGGCGCCTGTGATCCCAGCTACCACGGAGGCTGAGGCATGAGACCTGCTTGAACCTGGGAGGCAGAGGTTGCAGTGAGCAGCGATCATGCCACTGCACTCCAGCCTGGGCGACGGAGCGAGGCTGTCTCAAAAAAAAAATAGTAATTGCTTCTGTTTTTTCTCCTTAAACTTCTATATTGAATTTTATTAATAACTTTTTTCCATTTTGCTTTCCCCACGTCTGGGGCAGGCATTCCTCCCACTCAGCTCTCCAAGTATGGAAACCTCGGGCATGTGAACATCGGCGCCATTCAAGAGCCCCTCGTCTTTATCCTGCCAAAGAGAGAGACGCTCTTCACCCTGGATGACCAGGCGCTGGGGCCTGAGCTCACAGCTCCAGCACCAGAGCCTCCCTCCGAGGAGCCACGCCTGGATCCCGCGGGCCCAGCCTGCCCAGAGGGAGGGCGAGCGGAGGTGGACGCGGAACCGCCCAGCGTGGGGCCCTAGCGGGCGTCCCCAGCCTCCAGAACGCGGTGCGTGCGGTACCCGGCGCGGGGCTGGGGGACAAGGTTGCGTCGCCCTGGAAGGCCCAGGGCGGGCTCGGGAGGGAGGAAGACGCTCCCGGCAGGAGAGCGGAAGGGGGCGGTGCTCACTCCCGGTCTGGGCAGGAAGTGGGGGATCCAGCCGCTTCCTTGCTGTGCGCTGGCTGACGGCGCTTCCCGGCGTGCCCTGTGCTGCGGCCGGAAGGGGCGGGCCGGGTTACTGCTGCAGGGGCCGCCATGGCCCGGCTGTGGGGGGCGCTGAGCTTGAGGCCGCTCTGGGCGGCGGTGCCGTGGGCAGGGGCGGCAGCCGTCGGTACCGGGGCCTGCAGCTCCACGGCCGCCCCGGACGGCGTCGAGTGTCCTGCGCTCCGGCGCTCCTACTGGCGCCACCTCAGGCGCCTGGTACTGGGTCCTCCCCAACCGCCGTTCCCGCACGTGTGCCAGGTCGGGGACCCGGTGCTGCGCGGCGTGGCGGCCCCGGTAGAGCGGGCGCAGCTGGGTGGGCCCGAGCTGCAGCGGCTGACGCAGCGGCTGGTCCAGGTGATGCGGCGGCGGCGCTGCGTGGGCCTAAGCGCGCCGCAGCTGGGGGTGCCGCTGCAGGTGCTGGCGTTGGAGCTGCCCGAGGCGTTGTGTCGCGAGTGCCCGCCGCGCCAGCGCGCGCTTCGACAGATGGAGCCCTTCCCCCTGCGCGTGTTCGTGAACCCCAGCCTGCGGGTGCTGGACAGCCGTCTGGTCACCTTCCCCGAGGGCTGCGAGAGCGTCGCCGGCTTCCTGGCCTGCGTGCCCCGCTTCCAGGCGGTGCAGATCTCAGGTGCGGGCGGCGGGGCCGGGGCGGCTGGAGCAGCGCGCGAGTCTTTTCCGCCCAACTCTGGCGAGAGCGCGGAAGTGGTCGCGGTTCATCTGCCGTACCTCCCGCAGGAACGAAGTGGGACGCAGGAGCGTACAGGTCTCAGGACGGATAGAAGCTCTTGTGGGGCAGAGCCCGCTCAGATAGGACGCAGGGGCGAGGAGGGGTCTCCTAATTCCTGACAGCCTGGCGTCTTTCTGCTCCCTTGCTTTCTGAAGCAAACACTCTCTTCGGCGCTAGTTACGATCCGCCACGGTGGAGTTGGAGAAGTGGGGATTGGCCCCCCAGCCTGGCCCAGCCCGGGGGGCTAAGCCATTCCCTGTGTGGTACCACAGGATGTCTCGCGGAATGCGGGCTCTGCTGGGGTCGGGGTGATTGTTCCTGCAGAGCAAGCTCGTCGGTTGAAGAGGGTCAGAAAAACAGTGGGGTCTTAAGCTGCAGAACGTCTGTTAGGAGTTGAGAGCCCACGGATATCTCAGAAACGGGAGGAGTGTTCGGAAGGGTCGCACCGTAGGAAGATGATTTCTCATCTCAGCTCTACAGTGAGCTCCATAACCTAATTACCAGAGTTGGGAACCAGGTTGAACACTTGGTAATGGGCCGATGTGAGGCACGTTTTCCAGTTAGGAGAGGAGCTGCTGTCTACATTTGCCGTCTGCTGTTGCCTCTTGTCAATGGGAACAGCCAGGTGCAGGGGTGAGGAGGTTGGGGATGATGCAGTTCAGCTGTTCCCGCTCACCAGGGCTGTAACTTGCTTTGCAGGGCTGGACCCCAATGGAGAACAGGTGGCGTGGCAGGCGAGCGGGTGGGCAGCCCGCATCATCCAGCACGAGATGGACCACCTGCAGGGCTGCCTGTTTATTGACAAAATGGACAGCAGGACATTCACAAACGTCTATTGGATGGAGGTGAATGACTAAAGCTTTGCTACTGGGGCTGGGGATTCCGGATACCAAGACGCACACACTTCCACTTTGAGCTGGGCACATCTTACTTCGCATCAACTTGGATGGCTTGCATATGACAGGAAACTGGATGTCAGAAATGTTTGCCCTGAAATCAGCTATGAACGGAATGTTGTTTATAACTTGAGGAGAAAAATCACCCCCAAAGGAGTGGACGTTTTCTGACAATTCTGTATGGAGGAAGGTGGGGTAACTGCATTCGTCTGCAGTAGACACGAGTTCCTCGGACCTGTATAATCTCCCAAAGCCAAGGTTTGGTAATAATGTAGCCCCTAAATATCTGAAAGCTGTCTTTAAAAATGCAGGTAAGCGTGTGATTGGCCATTTGTGCCGAGTTCTTATTTTTACAGAGGGCTTATGGCCTTGGACGCCAGTTTGCTTATGGAAATGAAACAGGACAGAATCGTCCCTGCTCAAGGAAGTGTTTAATGACAGCACGGGTGTAAATGAGTGCCCACACATTTTAACAGCCTTGGGCAAGATTTTGCTGCTGATATCTCTAGAGCACCTGGTTCTTGGCTCATTCTTGGGTTAGAGGCCATGGATCAGGGCTAGGGGCAGGGGTGACAATTGAGAAGTGCAGTGAGCTTCCTTTAAAAATTGGGACAGACACAGAAAGCAGGACTAGTACTTCCTGGTTATACACTTTTTTTGTAAAAATGAATTAACATCACACCAACCAGTGTGTAGATTTAAGTGTCTGCCAGGCGGGGTGGCTCACGCCTGTAATCCCAGCACTTTGGGAGGGCGGGGCGGGTGAATCACGAGGTCAGGAGTTCAAGAACAGCCTGGCCAAGATGGTGAAACCCTGTCTCTTCTAAAAATACAGAAATTAGCCAGGCGTGGTGGCGAGCGCCTGTAATCCCAGCTACTCGTAAAGCCAAGGCAGAGAATTGCTTGAACCCAGGAGGCGGAGGTAGCAGTGAGCCAGGATCATGCCACTGCACTCCAGCCTGGGCGACAGAACAAGACTCAAAGGATGATTCTGACTGTAGAGTTTTCTTTTCTTCTCTGTCTCAAAAAAAAAAAGTGTCAGCTTTGTCAAGAGGTGAAGGAACTCCAGTTTTATTTATTCTTTGATTTTTTTTTTTTAAAGATAGAGACGGGGGTCTCACTGTGTTGCCCAGGCTGGTCTCAAATTCCTGGTCTCAGGCAATCCTTCTGCCTTGGCCTCCCAAAGTGTGGGATCACAGTTGTGAGCCACAGTACCCAGCCAAACTCCAGTTTTAGTTAAATTGTTTCACCTCTTTTTTTTTTTTTGAGACAGAGTCTCGCTGTGTCGCCCAGGCTGGAGCGCAGTGGCCGGATCTCAGCTCACTGCAAGCTCCGCCTCCCGGGTTCACGCCATTCTCCTGCCTCAGCCTCCCGAGTAGCTGGGACTACAGGCGCCCACCACCTCGCCCGGCTACTTTTTGTATTTTTTAGTAGAGACGGGGTTTCACCGGGTTAGCCAGAATGGTCTTGATCTCCTGACCTCGTGATCCACCCGTCTCGGCCTCCCAAAGTGCTGGGATTACAGGCTTGAGCCACCGCGCCTGGCCCCGTTTCACCTCATTTTTATGCTGAGTTTTGTAAAGTAGGTATTCTTGTTAAACAGAGTCCTCAAAATCAAACTATACAAGTAATAGGAAGTCCAGTAAGCTTTTTAGAGAAAATGTGTTGTAAATGGCAGTTAAATGAACCCAGGAAAGACCCGTTCTCCCCTATGGCTTTCTTTGCGACCCCATGAGGCCAAGCAGAAGCAAACTGGCTCTAGGTACAGCCTGACTTTGAAAAGGAATCCCGGCCAGGCTTGGTGGCTCATGCCGGTAATCCCAGTACTTTGGGAGGCCAAGGCGGGCAGATCACCTGAGGTCAGGAGTTCAAGACCAGCCTGACCAACATGGCGAAACCTTGTTTTTACTAAAAATACAGAAACTAGCTGGGCGTGGTGGTGGGTGCCTGTAATTCCAGCTACTTCGGAGGCTGAGGCAGGAGAATCGCTCGAACCTGTGAGGCAGAGGTTGCAGTGGGCTGAAATCTTGCCACTGTACTCCAGCCTGGTGACAGAGACTCCGTCTCAAAAAAAAAAAAGGAATCCCAACCAGGTACTGGTGCAAGGTCAGAGATGCGGCCAATGGGGAGATTGGTAGAAAGCTCATTGCTACTGAAAACATGGGTCTTTAGGAAAATTAGAATTCAGTGAGCCTCCTTTCATTTGGATAATGTTCAGAAACTCTTGCAGGGGGCTATGGTGACATTTTGATGCTTATAGTCTGAGGTTAACGCCTTTGTAGTGGGCATTGGTAGCAATAAAATGCAAGTTTTATTGCATTTCCAGTAAAATCTCTTCCACTTCAAGCAGGAAGCACTCACAAAAAACACATGTACACGTCAATATTATGAGCTAATCAAAGTTTTAGAAATCACCTTCCACAATGAAAGCCAGTGTAGACAGAAGGTTTAGAACAGAATCCCCAGGTAGAGAAGTGAATTTCAGAGCATTTCAGGGAGAAAACTCCTCTGCACGTGTCAGCATGTTTAACATCGATGATGGCAGGTTGTGTGCTGGCAGCGAGTCTGAGGCCACTGTCCAAGGTTCAGCACCAGTGGTTCCTGTTGCTGGTCATGGAGAGAGAGAAGTGGAAAGACAGGTTCACGCTCTAACTAGAGCACAGGGATGGACCATGGCCGCACTAACTTTTCTTAACCCCTAGTATTTGTTAAGGTGTTTAAGCAGTAGGAATGAGGAAACAAAAGTTCTGATTCAAGTAAATGTAACTAGAAGTTAAAAATTTAAAAACTTGTAAGCTCACTAAAGTGAAGCTCTGTAGACACGGTTCATTTCCTGGGGGCTTGGGGTACATAACCAAGAACTTAAACGAGTGTCCCCAAGCCACGAAGATCCCAGCTGCTGTGCTTGAGGGGTAACCCGTCAGCACTGGAGCCAAGTCTTGGAGCTACTGGTCCAAAGTTAGCTCACTTCTGCAGAGGCTTCGAACCAGAGCAAAGAAACAGCCCAATGCAAGGCCAGTGTGAGCCAAGAGGTGGTCATGTAATCAGTTCTGGCCCAGCCAGGTTTGAAAGGTAGAGAGGTACTGGGTGTTGGCGAGGGAGGCTTGGAACAAAGCCCTTTTCCCAGGCTACAAGCTTCATTTACTAGGCCAGGTCGTTCTGTGTGAATGTGCTTTGACTTAGGTCTGTTCATATGCATGGGGTAAACGTGGGACAGCCTCTGCAGCTTCACTGCCTGCCGGACACATGTCCAGGGCTGCCAGCTCTGGGCCCTTGGTGTCTGTTGGGGGTCACAAACTGAAATGGCCACAGGGGCTATCTGGGCAGGCAACACAGATGAGTGGGGATGGGGCCCCTTTCTGCACAGAGCAGCCTCTACTCAGTGGCCACGGACAGGCTGCCCCATGAGGATGCAGGCCCATCATAGCCTAATTTGATCTTCTAGAAGTCAGAATTCTGAATTTTTTTTTTTTTTTTTTTTTTTTTTTTCCGTTTTTTTTTTGAGGACGGGTCTCGCTTCTGTCGCCCAGGCTGGGACGTGCAGTGGCGCGATCTCCGCTCACTGCAAGCCCGCCCTCCCGGGTTCACGCCATTCTCCTGCCTCAGCCTCCTGAGTAGCTGGGACTACGGCGCCTGTACCTCGCCGGCTAGTTTTTGTATTTTTTTAGTAGAGACGGGGTTTCACCGTTGTCAATTTCCATTAACCTCGTACCCCCCCTCCGCTCCAGTGGCTGGGCCCAATACGGCTTCGAGCCCCCGCCGCCAGCCAATTTCTGAATTTTTATGTCAACTTTCAATATTTAAATGTTAGTGGCAGACCAAACACAGCTGTAGGACGGGTCTGGCACGCAGGGCTCTCACTTTGCAGTCTCTGATCTGCAGGCCGAACAACGGCGAGAACTGTCTGGATCCCAAACACCCCCAGCCAAACTTCTGAGGCCTTAAGGGGAGGCGGCCTTGCACACCTGACTGGAGAACAGGCCTGAGAACTGCAGCGTTCCTGTTTCCTGCTCTGCTTTAGAAGAGAGAGCAGAGAGAAAACCAGAGGGTCTTTTAATTGGAGGTAAGGGTGGTCCTTCAGAGTCCCAGGCAAGAGTCAAAGATGAGATCACTCGGGTGGCTCAAGAAGGGAAAAAGATTTATTAGACTATTTCCAGAACAGGGACCCAGGGGCAGTGGCTGGGTTCAGTGTTCTCACGCTCAGGAAGAAAAGGCAGTGAACACCCGCCTGACTGCCTTCCCCTGATCTGAACGACACCATCTCCTCCCCCAAGGAAGACACAGCCCTGGATGTGAACCTAGGAGGGTGGGAATGGCTTATGTCACTCAGTCTTTGAGGCAGAGCTTGGGCTGGGGTTGCAGGGGCATCAGCCAATCTGCTCTCAAGGAGCAAAACTTGGGCATAAAAGGAATGGGCAGTGGAGCTAGCCAACGGTCTGGAGGTCTGGGTGACCTCGCAGCATGGCTGCTCCCCCCGCCCCCCACTCCTTGACACTTCCAGGTGATTTTATTTTTATTTATAAACAAGACGAAAATCCAAGCAGCATTAATTTAGGGGAACAAAAGATGGAAAAAAGGTGGGGGGCAGAAGGAGCTGGTGAGCATCCAGGAGAGGAGGAAGTGGAAGAGCCGGTGTCCACCATGTGCCCCGGGGCGGTGGAGTGTCTGTGGCTGCGAGGCTCTTCCTTCTGGCTCCCTGGCAGGCGGCCAGACAGCAGAGGAGACTCTGTAGTGACTTTGGGACAAGCCCTGGAGCCCTGTCTGGCTGCTGACACAGGAGTGCCTGCATTTGCCCCCATCAACCTCCCACCTTCACCATCGCCCAAGTGAAGCAGCTTTTAACTCTCCTGCCCAAAGTCCTCTGAGAATTTCTTCACTTTCAGGAGGTCGTCTGCATTCACCGTGGGCCGGGTGGTGGCCAGAGACCGCAGCATGTCCGACTGTGAAGGCAAGAGCATGTGCTTGAGCAGGAGCCAGGCTCCAGGTCCCCAACCTCCCCTCAGCACGCAACAGGCGCAGTCGAGGGTGGGAAGAGGCCTGCCTTCAAGGCCACCCCAGAGACCTGCTTGAATCTGCCTATGGCAGGGACCCTGTTCCCTCCCGAGGCAGCTCAGATGGGCCTCCTCCTGGTCAGCATCTAAGCTCCATCATCTCATAACTGCCCTTAGGAACTGTTTTTTGGAAATGGAGTCTCACTGTTGACCAGGCTAGAGTGCAGTGGCACAATCTCGGCTCACTGTAACCTCCACCTCCTGGGTTCAAGTGATTCTCCTGCCTCAGCCTCCCGAGTAGCTGGGCTACAGGTGCATGCCACCACACATGG